ATTTCTTGGCAAGTAACTGCATCAGACAAGACTTGATCATTGAAGCAATAATCTTCTCAGATTCTCATCACACTTCAACTGAAGTCTTTGCTCAGAAGTTCGAAGTTGTTAGGGAGAATAGTGGTCATTGTATTTAAATGTATCTTTTCCATATATTTACCATTTTCTAAACTTTGTAATCATCCATGGAGTCTCGCCGTTCGTATACTACCATTCTATTAATAAAGTTAGAGCCTTTATCCAATTCTTTGTAGTTCTTCTTTATTCTATTTCCAAAGATTTCATTTATTACTGATAGTAATTTTCAAAACAAAAAGACTTAATAATAAAAAAAAATCAAAAAGAATTTACAAATTACCTTTTGCTTCTGATGTTGTGATTTAAGTGGAACAAAAGTAGTGATTCCAAGGATGGACAAAATCCTAAGTTTTGAAAAGTTCCCCAAGAAATATTTCCCTGGTTTTACTTGCTGATATGTGAGTATTACACTTATGATACGGCTTCTTGGGATAGATGAATCTCATACAAGTTGGTATATGGTGTGGCATTTGGGTTTGTAATCTCGTTTCCCCAGTTAAGTCTTGATTCAGATTTCTCCAACTGAGTGTAATTTCTTTCCATGGTTAAATTTTGGTCAAGCAGAGGTTGTAAAGTTACAAAGAAGGTGCTTGGTTGTTTAATTCTTTCTCCCTTTATGTTGAGAAGTAATGCAGAATCTTTAGCAGGATATTACGCCCTCCAGTTATGACATTATTGTTGTTGTGTGCTTCCAAACAACCAGACAAGGGCATTATACATTCTAAGAAGTTTTAAGATAAGCATCTACTCCTTGGGTTCTCTCTCGCTGTGTGCTGAATTTGATTTAAAATCCCCATGAGATGACCTATTACTGTGATGTTAACTTCTTAATTCTCCAGATGAGACGAGGATGATGCTTCCCTCTAAAAGTTGTTATCCCATGAAATTTCATGATTTCTCTCCAGATAAGTTTACACAACAATTATGCTTGATATTGAAGATTGTATTTGGGCTCATTTCAGTGTGTGAGGTTTCTTTTTCCCCAAAGAAGTTAGCATGACAATCCCTAGTTAAAGTCTAAACGATGTGGTTTTCACTTCCCCTAGTGAAGTTAGTGTTGGAATCTCCAGGTGAAGTCCGGATGATGAAGCATTGTATTCCTCTGCCGAAGTATGTATGACATCCGTAGGTGAAACCTAGAGGAGTTTATTGTATCCTCGTAACTTTATTTGTTTCTAGACGGTTGATTCTTTGATTTGTTTTTAAGCCATGATCTTCCCAGTGAAGTTAAGTCGTGAAATAGGACTTTGTTTCCTCAGTTGATGCTTATTCTATTAGGGAGCCTTCATCCTGGATGTGACTTGGCCGAGTGTTATCTCCACCAAAGTTAGCTTTGTCTGGTTATCCTCAGTGCATTATGGTTATTTTGTCAGCATATATATGATAATATTCATACATTCATACATACATCATGCATAGCTAAATAGAATTCATTATTCATTTGCATTCATTGATGCTTTGTTGGTATATTTTTCTCTTTGCAGAGTTATGTTACCCTCTCTTCAATAGAGTTGTCAACTTTAAACAAAAGTGTATATTCTTGCAACTTTCCCGCTGAGTCATCCCTCGTGGGAGAATTTTGCTTTAGCCTTCCTATTTGGTTCATTATTGGATGGAATGTGACCCCCTTTTGAGTTTATTTCTCATTAGGTGTTGTCTTGGTTACTTGTTTCATTCCAGTTTATTTATGGTTTAAATCTGTGGCTTCCGAAAATATTATTATTCTGACTTCTGCAGGCTTCGAGCCTTGGTTTGAGAAGATGCATTTATTTTGCACACAAAGAATTTTTTTCTCCCCAACAGGAATGTATTAGTATTTCCCCAGGAAATCAAGCTTCATTTCCCGACAGTCTTATTATAACTCCTTCTTAAACAACAAGCGACAATTCTCTTTCTTTGAGCAACCTGTTCTTCCCAGTAAGTCTGTTAATGTCAGAGAAGATGTTACTCCAATGAATGTTAGCCTCTTCATTATGAGAGGTAGTTCGTTGTTGAGATTTTTTTTACTCCAATGAATGGTAGCCTCGTCATTATGGGAGGTAGTTCATTGTTGAGATTTTTTTTACTCCAATTAATTGTAGTCTCGTCATTATGGGAGATAGTTAGTTGGTGAAGATGTGTTACTCCAATGAATGGTAGTCTCATTATTATTGGAGATAGTTCGTTGATGAAAATGTGTTACTCCAATGAATGGTAGTCTCGTCATTATGGTAGATAGTTTGTTGATGAAGATGTGTTACTCGAATGAATGGTAGTCTCATCATTATCGGAGATAGTCTATTGATGAAGATGTTTTACTCCAATGAGTGGTAGTATCTTTATTTGAGATAGCTTGTATGTTACCCTTTCCAGGTGAAACATCCTGATTAAAGAAGAAATTGAGACCAGTTCGTGGTTTATGTTCAGGATCGAGGGGAAGTTTATCTGATTCTCCATCAAATGGTATCTCTTCGAAGAAGATATGAAAGATAAGTTTGTTGTGAAATCATTGCAAGTGGTAGTCTCTTTATTTGCGATAACTTGTATTTTTACCCTTTCCAGGTGAAACATCCTGATTAAAGAAGAAACTGAGACCAGTTTGTGGCTTATGGTCAGGATCGAGGGGAAGTTTATCTGATTCTCTATCAAATGGTATCTCTTCGAAGAAGTTTCGCAAGAGAAGTTTGATGTGAAATTATTTCAAGTGGTAGTCTCTTTATTTGAGATAGCTTGTATTTTTATCCTTTCTAGGTTAAATATATTGGTAAAAGAAGGAGTTTCTTTGAGACCCCACCTGCAGTAAAAGTTGGTGTATTCTTTTTTCTCCCTACCTTCAATAAAAGTTAGTAGTTGACCTTCACTAAACGTTGGTGTTATTCTTGAAGCTCACCTTTAGTAAATGTTGGTATGTCTTCTATCTCTTTACTTTCAATAAAAGTCAGTATTGTGCCATGTTTTTTTACCTTCATTCTTGAGTGAGTAGTTTATTACCATTCTTAGGCAAGATTAATCTCTTCCTCCTCGTTGGACCTTACTCCGATTGAGTTAAGTTATTTCCAGCCATAAGCCCTAATGCCAAATCCTTGATTACCAGGCATAAGTACTGATACCAATCATCCACTTACTAGTCTAGACGTTGACATTTATCGTCATCCCTGAGCCGGTATTATCTTCACTATTTTTATTCATGCCCTTCTATTTAGCAGTTCCTGATCCCCTGTGTTGATGTTACTCTCTTTTTGTTATCTCCTCTATCAGTGAATAGTTCGCAATTATTGGTTAATCATTGTTATCCTTATTTTGTTGAGTTGATGCTATTTGGTCTCTTCTCTAGACCTTACCACAATGAAGTTGAGTCTTCTTTTCCCCAGCGGAGTCCATTTGTCTCCAATGGATTCAAAATTCTATCCCCAGAGTCGTGTTGTCCCCCAGAGATTTATTTTCTAGGTCGACTTCTTTTTTGTTAAGTCTGTTGATTTTATTTTCACTTCTTCAGTGTGTCTTATTCACCAACACGAAGTTTATACTTTACATCCATAATCATGAGCATCGCATGGCATCTCAGGGCCAAAAATAGGGCTTGTTTTGTATTTAAGTATCTTCAATTGCGTCGAGACGAAGATTTTTACCTTCGTATCTCCAGATAGAAGACACTTAAATAAGGGCAGCTATTATACCCCAATTTTTCCCCTAAGATCCCCCATCATACTTTATACATCTCATAGATAGCATTGGTCCCATGGTTACGGGATCGAAGAGCTTTTGGCATTAGGGTTTTTCTCTGTGGACTAAGGTTGTTACATTCTTCATGTTGATTCAACTAGTGCTTTTATCATTCTTGGTACGAGATTAGGGTTTTGAATTTCCAGCATCGTAGACGTCTTCCCTGATAAAATTCCTCAGGATACAAAGTTATCTTCATTAAGATTTTTCAAAGAGCAATAATTAGAGTGTCTCCTAAGTGCTTTCTCCAATAGACATTCTTTTAATAAGTCTAGAGGACTGAATTAAGGATTTCTTTCTTGTGATTCTATTTGTTAAGTGGTTAAGGATTGATTTAAGATTTTGTCAAGATAATTCTGGGTGTTTAAGCTGTGAATCAAGGTAGGTTTGCTTCTTGGGCTTTGGTTAAATCGAAGATGGGAATTGAGGTTTCGTTGGAGGTGATTTGAGATTCGTTTAAGAAATTCCTTTAATCCCAAATCAATTCAAGAAAGTTTGTATAATGGTTTGTATGGAATTCAGAGTTGGGGATTCAAATATCATTCAAAGTCAATATGAATTCAAGCCCGTTTTATAAGAATTTCTTTAAAGGAGAATTACTTGAAATTTAAGACATTTCTTATTCATTTCGATTCCATTCAAATTCCTTTCAAGTGAATATTTTGATGCAGTTTGCCAAGGGGATTTATATTTTAAAGATGGAAGACTTGTTCAAGACTTAATTCAAACATCATACTGGCACGGATCCAAATCCTTCATTATCCATTATTCGGGATGCCAAACTTCATAGTTCATTCTATATTGAAAAATCGAAAAGAAATTATTTAAAATTTTCAAATGCAAATTCGAGGAAGCTTTGTTCATTAGTATCCTCAATTCATCACAAGTGGAAATAAAAAAAGAGAGAGGGAATATTCAAGGATGGCATGGAAAGTATGGAATGTCTTGTAACTACTTGATTATGTTCAAGGGATATTCAAAGATTCAAACATTAAGTCAATACAAGAATTCATTCAAGATTCTTCAAAAATGCAAGTTATAATACATGTCACTACACTAGCTTTAACTACTTTCATTACAAGAGATATCAAGTCTTACGCAAAATAAGAAAGTCTCGCAAATTTGATTCTAATCCTAAAAGTTGCATTTAACAAAGTATACAAACCCTTCCCATTTCACATTCTTCCAAATTTCAAACTCGCAAAGCAATTCACAAAATCATGTTGCAACCGACAAGCATCAGCAGCAACCAGCATTTGGTTCATACCATGTCAGTGTCTCTCCAAGGGAACTCAACATCAGTTCTAATGGATCTGAGTGAAAGCTTCATGGACACAAACGACAATGTGCAAAATGGAGAATTTATAAAAGTAGAAAATATCATCATGTACTCCCAGAAACTACAAGGGGATCTGCATTCTTTTGGGATTACAATTAAGCAGCATGAGGATAGCACAATCATCCTGGGAGGTTCCAGTAATCATGTTCTTGATAAAATCACGATGTCCAGGAGCATAGATGAGTGTGCAGTAGTACTTGGTGGGTTCAAATTTCCACTAGGAAATATCAATGGTAATACCTCTTCCACACTTCAGCTCTGCCATATTCTTAAACACAATAAACAGTTCAACAGTCCACAAGTTCAATCAAAAATAGTTTAACAGTTTGCATCAAAGAACCAACAAATTTCCAACTTGCAGCCAGCTGATTAACCGAGTTGTAACAGAAATTTGCCAGCTCATCAACATATAACTAACTCTCTAACGGTTTCCTAACTAATTTCTAACAGCAATAAGAAAATTGGGAGAAAAAGGTGCTAACAGATTCATAATAGAACTGTAACAGAATTATGGGGGAAAGGTATTGATACATAACAGATAATAGAATTTGGAGGAAGGACCTTTTTTCCATCTATCTCAGTGATCTTGAGCCTCCATTCTCTGTCATCTTCAACCTTCCATTCCCTCTTTCATCTAAAACCTTCATTCTCTCTGGAATTTCCATAGCCGTAATATTCATCTTAATCCCTTAATTCCGCCTACTCTTTCCATCTCCAACTTTCCGCTTCTGCATCAACATCAACGTATCTCAGCATCCTCAAATCTTCAATCACCATCAACAATTTTTTTCTCTGCATCATCGCCGAGCTTCGTAGCTAAAAGTTCATAACGACAGACTCGAAGGAGACATGGGAAGAAAACGAAATTCAGACAAAGAATTGAGTAGAATACATATACCGAAGCCAGGATTTGGAGATCGTAGCGTTTCTGGTCTTCTTTATCTGCTTCACAGAGCCGCTAAAGTTACTCTGACGTGTAACCAACGAATCACTCCTCTCTTCACCTTTTAGCATCTTCCTCGTTGTCATGTTATGCGTCTTGGTTTGCGGAGTAGAATCCCCAAGGTTTCAAGATGAGGCAGGTTACCATTATCATTTAATCTCACGTCAAAGGTTTTTAGGGTTTCCTCCTTGGCATATAGATTTAGGAGAATTGAGAGAAGCTTTAAAACAAAAGGATAGAGGATTTATGTGTTAGTTGAGAAAGGGAAAGGACGGTGGAATGTGTAGGTGAACGGCGATCAGAGATGACGATCAGAGCTGCGGATGTTTGTTAGTTTGAAGGAGAAGAAGAGATGGTGGAAGAGAGATTTGAGGTGGAGAGAAAGGTTTCAGTCGCGACTCTGTTTGAGAGAAGATGATGATCATGGTACTGAGACGGAGGAAAATGGTTGAGAATCGGTGGGGGTCTTGATTGGAATCAGAGGAGGGTTATGAAGTAATCAATCGAAGACAGCGGTAGTGGAGAGGGTAGATGAAGAGTACCAATTCACAACCCTAACTTCGTTCCCTTTTTCTTCAAAATTAATTTCTCTAACCTGTGATTCAATAAAAAAAACGCAAAATGATAGAAGTTTGTTGGGCTGTTCCTTGAGCCCGGTTTTTTTTCATGCTGGATGAATGGGAAGGAATTCGCTGGACCTAGACCGGGTCACTTACCATTAGGCCCGTTTCAACTTTTTTTTAAAGGCTGAAGTTTCATTTAACAAAAAAACTGGTTTAGTGGGCCTTGTTAAGAGGGCCTAGCGCCTAATGTTTTACTGGAGTAAACTCCCTAGAATCTGCTTCACCCCCTGACTTCTTTTTTTATTGTGTTAATTTTCTTTAGTAAATTCTCTTTTAAATTTTTCTTTAATAAAGATTTGTAAATAAAAAATATACATAGATAGAACTTAGGAATTTCTAATTTTTTTTTATATTTCTGTGATTAATAAACTAAAAAAACCAATAAAAATTTGTTAGATTTCTCATTTGATTTTTTTAGGAAATTAATTCCTAAGTTTTTTCGATTACTTGAAACTTGTGATTCACTTTTGCATGTTGAATTGAGTCTTATATAGGTTCATTGTTTGATATGCAGACATGTTGAAATTTCCGATTGTGATTTATTTTCACATTGATGATGTTATGACACTATTTCCGAGCATTCAATCTCTGACTGTTTGTTTGTTGATTCTAGTTCGCGCGAAGAATTCCGGGTTTTTTTGCTTTGGTTGTGCTTTTTGTGGACATTATTGTTCGTTTGGTATTATACTGCTTCCGATTTATTTTTCCATATTTTATTGCCTTCTAGATATCTTGAGAAGTAGGAAATAAAGAGCGTGCGCTCGAAGTCGCTATTTAAAGACCTGTAGCAGGCACTCTGCACTTCATTTGGTATATGTGCCGTGCTTGTGTTTGTTTCCTTTCTTATTGATCGATAAGTAACTCAATTTAGAAATTGAGATCACGACTTCGCTCTCAGTGGATGATCCCTATAGGATTTTATCGCTTTCCTTTATTTCTTATTGATCGCTGAGTCACTCAATTTAAAAATTGAGATCACGACTTCGCTCTCATTGTATGTTCCTTATAGGATAGTTTGTTAGACTTTCTGTGGTATGCTAACCTAGGTAGGATCTCTCTAGGTGTTCTCTTTTGAACTTGTTGGTCTGCTTGCTTGATTTCCTCTTTGTGTGCATTTTTTGAGATAATAGACCCTTTCTATGCTCCTTTAGGACTTCTTGATTCATATATAGATGGTGAGTTAAGATAGACACTAGGATTGTTATCCAAGCATGCCAACATAGGGTAGAGATTTCCCTTTCAAGCTCAACTTTAGGATCATTATATGATAATGCTAGGTTAGAGATAGGTTAGTCTCCCTTTATACTTTTCTTTCCCCTTTTTCATAATTGCATTTAAAACTATAACTTATTTTTCTTGGCAAATGTATAAAAAAATTGATAAGCATACAAAAATTCTTTTCATGGTAAAAAAATACCAACCAATCCGCTTATTTTCTCCATTCGGATTTTCTCTTCTAAGAACATTGTTAGTTCGTTTTCACTACAGGTCATAACTCTCCAAAGGTCGAGCAGCGGTGGAATGATCGAATTCAATAGTGTTCACTTAAAAAATACAAACAAACAAAATATATGAGCCGAAGTACGGCGCTCTGATTCCTTAAAAGGGATACGTAGGCATCTGGTCACGGGGCTCAGCCGAGTGAAAATTTGTAAATATTTCCTTCTTTTCCCCATGTTTTATTTGCATGCATTCCCTCTTAGCTTACAACTCTTAAGTAATAGATTGAACATACCCTTTGATTAGAACAATCGGAGTGGATCCCGTAGAGTACTACGGACGTGTGGGGTGCTAATACCTTCCCCTTGCATAATCGACTCCCTTATCCAATATCTCAGTTGCAAGACCTTGATTTCCCCTTTAGGTTTTTCTTCGATGATTTTCCTTTCCCTTTTGTGGGATAAATAAATACTCGGTAGCGACTTTATTGATTTAACCGCTACACTACCATGAGCATCTAGTTCCATAGGATGTACAAAGTGTGCTAGCTCCTCGTCAATGAACTACAATATATAATTACATTCAATAGTTTTATAGAGTATACTATCTTTATAGGACACCATATTCAAAAAGAGATCCTTATATGCAAACACATCCAGTAGATACTAGAGGAGGAACATGCTAGGGAAGAAGGTGTAGTGAATGTATTATCGATATATAACCGTATAGTTGCTATTAGGAGAGAGACCATAACTAGGCTCAAGTTTCAGGAAGTCACTTATAAAAGGATCACTCTACAAGCAATATTAGAAGAGGCTCGACATATGTTGCAGTATTGGGGGAAGTAAAGGAAGAAGGAGGTTAGATATAGCCTCTGGTGATATTTTGATATTATGGTTTTTAATTTGTATGGTTTTTTTATATTATGAACATTGAGGATTAAGGTATGGTTTTGAATTTGTATGGTTAGATATAACCATGTGTATGGTCTATAGTGGATATCATTTAAAAATTACTTATAACGCATAATTTATTAATTGTTAAAAAGTTCTTCAAAGTTATTGTCAAGGGGTGTAAATAATATCTTATCCAAATTTTGAAATTTGACCCATTTTTAACTATCTAATGATGAAACACATATCCAAGCCAATGTGTGGGGTTTATCTAGATATTCAAATCAAAATTTTAATAGGGATATATCTAGACATTACTATTTTTGTTAAAGATGGAATGTCTCTTTGATGAAGTGATTTTGTTGTAAAATATGTACGTCTAAATTTTAATTTTAAGACGCTATGAACAATATTTTTCAAGTTTCCACCATGTTATCTTCTCCCAGGTCCCTGGAGAAATGTCAATAATGCCCTCTATTTTTGAAGATACATCTCCGAACACACAATTTCTTCATTTTACCTAAATTAAATTTGGAGATGCATCTATGAACACTACAATGAAAAAGGGATACCATAACGGTTGGAAAAGGGATACTGTGATACGGTGGCAGAACCGATTGTTATATACTGGTTTTGCATTTTTTGTTCGTAAATGTCGCAGTAAGCAAGATTCGCCATCATCTTTTCTTTTATCCAACAAAGGAAAGAGTGAAAAGAACAGAAAAAGACCTTTTCGAGAGTTTTCTGAGTAAGGGGTAGATTATGGAAAGGGAAGGTGTTAGCACCCTTTCCATCTGTGGTTTTCCATGGGCTCTTAGAGGTTTGCTCATTTTGAAATACCTTTGTGCTTTGTGTGTTTGAAAATGTTTTGAAAAACGCCTTAGTACGACGAAATTTGTAATGTTTCTCGGGATAGTAGATAACGTATACAAAGTGTTTGAAAAATGTCTTTTGGAAATGTAGTATTTGTGTGTAAGTGCAAAAAAGTTTTTTTGAGCAAACTTCAAACCAGCTATCTACTTTGTTACTCGAAAAGGGTCATTCTTTTCCTCTTTTCATTTAGACAATGTTATCCTACTATTAGTGAGTAGGTAGCCTTATCGTTAGATGTTGAGCGACAATCGAAGGGACATTTTACAGTCATGAAGGCAACATGTAGAGACACTTTAGCAATTTTGTTTAGGGACTATATCATTTACTGAAAGGCAACACTGTAAGGGTCATGGAGGAACTATGATCTTTTTTATTTTTGCGGGTCTTTGCTAAAGCGTCCCCATTCTCGAGGAACGTGACTGTTTTTCCGAAAGGCAACCGAAGCGGGGATACCCTAGAGGTGCATATGTGTCGGGATTCAGTTATTTTTGTCTTTTTATTAAGTTAGCTAACATTTTAATTTACAGTCTTTCCATACATGCTTATTTAC